GGGCTGGCTGTCCATGGCCAGCCGCGAGGACTTAATGAAGATGGTGCGGCCGCCCTACTCGTACTCAGCGCTCATCGCCATGGCCATCCAGAGCGCGCCCGAGCGCAAGCTTACGCTCAGCCACATCTACCAGTTCGTGGCCGACAGCTTCCCCTTCTACCAGCGCAGCAAGGCCGGCTGGCAGAACTCTATTCGCCACAACCTGTCGCTCAACGACTGCTTCAAGAAGGTGCCCCGCGACGAGGATGACCCAGGTGAGGGCGGCGAGGCAGGTGCTTCGAGGCTCGGTAGGCGGGCGCGGGCAGGAGCCGGGCAGGGTCTGTGGCTGCCTGGTCTCCTCCGAGCCGGGGCGGGCGCAGGTGGAGGGGCAGCCACCTCGTCTGACCTGGGTGAGGGTAACCGGAGGAGAAAGAAACGTCAGAGAGGTCTGGAAGGAGCACCCAGTGAGCGGGGAGCTCGTCCCTTACCTCTGTACGTCCAGTTAGATAGAGGAGAGGGGGAAAGTTCGTGTCAAACGAGAGGCCACCCCTGGGCAGTGTTCATCGGCCCTTTTGAAGGGTTGCCTAGTTAAAGGGAAGGCTGATGGGGAGTAGGAATGCCGGGAAACTCACCCGAAAGGGGAGATGGTTGAGAAAACTGGGATCCCGGTCGGCTTTCACAAAGGAGGCGGACTCTGGCGCGTTTCCTCCGCTATCCGACTCCTACGAATCTCACTGTGACCACCTGAGAAAGAAGACTTGACCCCCGTGGCTCCAGCACCATTAGATAGAGCTGGGACAGCTTTCATGACCCTACAAATTGTGATTTTGATGCCTTAACTAGTTAGAAATTTAAAAAGAATGTCCCCAACTTTCTTCTGCTCTGAGCCCCAAAACCCCTGGAGCAGGGAGGGCCACCTTACAGCGCTGAGTGCCCTTTCTTACCTGGCCTAGGGGGAGGTGGAGAGAAGCAGCTTAAAAAAACGAGAGAAACTTGAGGTTTTCCCAAGGAGCCCAGGACAAGGGAAGGGGAGGGAGCTGCCGTGGGAAACAATATTAGTCAAACAGAAGTGTTCTCAGGCATGGCGCTCAGGTTGGGATTTTCCCTAGCCCCCTGAAGCCATGCTTCGGCAGCACTTTCCAGCAGGAATACTGTACAAAGTCGCATTCAAAAAGTCCAGAGTCTGGTGACATTTTTAATATTATTTAAGTATCCAAAATGTTTCAATTATAAAAATTACTAGTGCATTCTTTATATTATTTCCTTGGTTCTAAATGTTCAGTTTCCTGTGAGCATTTTATTCCACATCTCAATTCCAAATGCCCATAGCCAACTGTGGCTGGTGGGTACTGTATTGAACAGAGTAGACAGTTCTAGAAGATGCATCTTCCTGATTTGGCCTGTGAATTACCCAAGATTATCTTGTTAGTTATATGAACTCTTTTTTTTTTTAAAGAGAGAGTGAGAGAGGAGAGAGAGAGAATTTTTAATATTTATTTTTTAGTTTTCAGCGGACACAACATCTTTGTTGGTATGTGGTGCTGAGGATCGAACCCGGGTCGCACGCATACCAGGCGAGCGCGCTACCGCTTGAGCCCCAGCCCCAGTTATATGAACTCTTGAACTTTCGTAAACATTTAAAGTTATTGGTAGTGTCATCAAAGCTCTTGGTACTTGCAAAACAAAACATTTTGGGCTGAAGGTGTGGTTCAGTAGTAAAGCACTTGCCTGCATGCATGAGGCCCTGGGTTCCATTCCCAGCAACTCCCTCCCCCCACACACATAATAATAATAATCTGTTGGTACCTAATTGGTCCAATATATACACCTGATAGATGCAGGTATTGTTACCTAAACTGTAGTCATATAAAACTTTCTTTTTCCTACAATTATCTGCAGAAAATGCTTCACCGAAGATCATGGGCTTGGAAGAGTGAGTGCCTGCTAGTTTGTGGAGGCAGCTTAACACAGTAGTTAACAAAGAATTCTGGGTCTGGAGTCAGCCTGCTTAGATGCTGGCTCTATCATGGCAGTGATTGTATAGCTCTTGAATACAGCAAGTTGCTGACCAGTCTGCATCTCATTTTCCCCATCTGAAGAGTGAGGACAATTGTATTAGGAGTCTCCATAGAACTGTGAGGAGGTACTAAGGTTTTCCATGTAAAACTCTCACTAAAGGTAAATGCTTGGTAGTACTTTGAAACATCAAAGGTTATTTTTTTCTAGAAGTAAAAAGGGCTATTGGATGAGATATCCCTCTTTCCCACCTTGGTTGTAGAACATAAGGGACATTTTCTAAGCAGACAAGCTTTGTCCATGTTTGCCATGTGGACAGAAGGCTTAGAAGATTTTCAGGGGTGTGTGCTGCCCAACAGGAATGGAGGTCGATGGCCAGCATTTCCTCAAACTCCAAAGGAGGGCCATCCCATGAGTTGCTAATACCGAGGAGATTACACAGGAATCAATCTTTATTTGCAGGCTGCTTTTTTTCCAGTAAGATAGTTTTTTCAATGGTGGGAGTTTTATACTTTTAGGGAATAAGAATTTTACAATAAATACTCTATTTTCACTGCTTGCCATGTGCCAGCTACTATGCTTGAGATGTCATTTAAACCTCAATCTGGTAGATGGGTGCTGTTCTCATCCTTATCATTGTAAAAAATGGAAGCCCAAGTTTTAAGTAGCAACAGAGTTCCATGATTTTGCAAGGTCACACTTTTTTGGATCTAGAATAAGGGAAGGTGTTGGGCAATTTAATTACAAGTGCTTTGGGAATCTAATTAAGTCTGGGGGAGGCATGGAACCCAGGGCCTCACACATGCTAGGCAAGCACTCTACTGCTGAGCTAATTCAGTCCTGCAATCTCCAACTTTGACATCTATATGGGGTCTTGCCAAGTTGCTCAGGCTGGTCTGGAATTTGCCATGCCCCTGCCTCAGTTTCCCCAGTCTCTGGGGAGACAGGGGCATGTCCAGATCACATGATTTCTATCACAGTTACATTTTGCTTAATTGTGCTACTTTATTATTAGTTATTAGTAGTAACTTTTACCTTGCCTCATTTTAGAAATTAAACTGTATCGTGGGTAAATATGTATAGAAGAAAAAAAAAAAAAACACCAGAAAAAAGAGGTTTGGCACTTCCAGGGTTGTAGGCAGCTCCAGGGGTCTTGGGACCTGAAGGGACCGTGGACGACTATGCACAGGCATAAACAGGTCCTTCTCTAATATGTCCTTCTTTCCCAGGGAAAGGTAATTACTGGACTCTGGATCCAAACTGCGAGAAGATGTTTGATAATGGAAACTTCCGTCGGAAGCGCAAGCGTCGCTCGGAGGCCAGCGGCAGCTCTGCAGTGGCCACTGGGACTTCCAAGTCAGAAGAAGGGCTGTCCTCAGGATTGGGGGCCCGGGTGGGCGCCCCCGAGGGAGAAGGCCCCTCCTCGGTGCTGCGGCCAGCGCAGTCTCCGGAGCCTGAGGGCGCCAAGAGCCCTGGGTCCCCGCCGGGTGGCCCTGTGCTGGCCTCCACCCCCTGCCTCGGTGCCTTCTTCAGCAGCCTCAGCAGTCTCAGCGTCGGCAGCGGTGGGAGTGCCCAGCGCGCCAGCCCTGGTGGCCGCCACCTGGGGGCCCAGGGCCCTCAGCTGCCCTCCAGCAGCGTCTTCCCCGCCACCTCTATCTCTGAGGCCTCTGCAGACACCTTGGCGCTGGGCACCAGCAGCGGCAGCAGCCAGCGATCTTCCTACTATAGCCCTTTCCCAGCCAGTGCCGGTGGGGGCCAGAGCAGCCCCTTCAGCAGCCCCTTCTACAACCTGGGCATGGTCAACAGCCTCATCTACCCGCGGGAGGGCTCCGAGGTGTAGGGTGCTTCTCAGACTTGGAGGCACTGCTGAGCAGATCGAGGTCTGGGGTGGGGCTGAGCTTCTGCATTTGTTTGAACTGCTGGGTGATCCCATGGTGTAACTTCCAGGGAGCAGGGAACCCTCAGACCCCAGCAAACTTTTACAGGTCTTCTGGAGATGGGCCTCTAGGCAGAAGTCCGACTGCATTCCGGGGCAGGTAGCCTGCAGCCCTGTGAGGCAGAGACTGGGTCTGGGGCCTTGTCGATCTGTGCCAGGTGGTGGGCTCAGGGGTGCTTAGTTGGAGCCCACCCTGAAGTCCCTAGGTGGTAAAAAGCAGCTAGCACTTGAAGTCCGTGGTTGGACCCACCAGCCAAAGGCTCTGGAGCAGCTGGCTATCCCCTGTCCTACAGCTTTCTGATCTTTTCTAGAAAAGCCAGGTAATTTGGCCTTTTATAGGAAACTTCCAACTTTGTGTCCTTGGCCTCCAGTTAAAGTTTGTATCACTGGAAGCACTACAATTGTGCAGCGGGTCACCTCTGACTGGTACCTGTGACGTACTGATTGCCTTAAGGCTGCCCTAGGTACCAAGCATTGCCCTAGTCTCAACGGGTTTAGCCCACCTTGCCTCACAGGGGTGGCTATAGATTCTTGTCCCACACTTGCTGTCTGTGCAAGCGACATGGACTTCTGAGATGAGATGTGACTTGCCCGAGGTCCCAGGGAGAAAATGGTGGAACTGGGCCTGGCTGCAGAGCTGGAGCTGGTAACCTGTATCCCAGTTGCTGAGACCAACTGCACCTCCTACCCAAGTCCAAGGCTGAGGTGACCGCTGAGCCAGCTGACCACCATAGCCTGTCCCTCTTAGCTCCTGTCCTGGGCATTTCATTTTGTAGTCAAGTATTGTTAGAATTTTATTAAATAGGTTTAAAGTGGAATTTCATAGCTTTTAATATGATAAACCATTTGTGGTCAAATTAAAAAATAGATGATTTTATTTATCTTAGCAACCTTTCCTTCAGAGGCATGGTCCCTTGAGTAACTCTTGCCTTCGCCCTCCCAGGGCCCAGCAGAGACCTGGCACCTTACACGGCAAACACTTGGCCATTATTGGTGGACTAGTGAGTTAGTAAGAAAATGTTAATTAAAAATGAATGATGGCTGGACGCCCTGGGAACAGCATTCTATTCAGATGAAGATAGCCTGAGTCCCCTTTGCCAAGATTTTGAGCCTTTGATACGAGCATTTTTTTGTCTGGGGTTTGGAATTTTCTAGAAACAGGATCACATACACATTGTAATTAAAAAAAAAAAAAACTGTTTCCTGTGTACTCCTGAAGATACAATATTTTTCAAAAAAATCTTTATTTTGAAATAGAGCATGTGGAAAAAATCACGAACTTATTGAGCTCAAGATCGTCGCCACTACCTAAAGACAACCAAAGAGACTCCCTACCCTCTACTGTGTGTACAGAAAACCTTTTCTATGGATATTTTTGTATGTGAGCAAGCATATGAACTTTTATAAATATTTTTTCTAGCACAACTCTATATATTTGTGAGTTAATTTATAATGTGAACCAGGGCAGCAAAGAAAAAAAGTTTTTAGAAAAGAAAATCCTGCTGAGAAAGACCACAGGAAATAAACTCAAGTGGGGTGACTTCTGGCCTCTTTGGGGCATTCCTGCTTTGTCCTAAAGGAATAGAGGGGTGAGGTGCATGGCATCAGCCACTGGGGGGCCGAGCTGTCACCTGTCCCTCAGGATCGCACCCCCCCACACACACACAACATGACTGTTGGCTTCTGATGGGCTCACTATCTGGATCAACCAGATTTCAGTGCATCAGACAAACGGTGCTCTGGGGGGAGGGACTTGGCACCCCATGGATGCTAAGGAAAGAGCTGGTATTACAAACTTGCCCCATCTGAAAAGAAGCCAAAGGACCAGGGCTTCAAAAGCTGCCCAAAGGCCCCTGAGGAGGTGAGGGACAGGTGATCTAGCCCAACACCTGCAATTTGCCAACAAGCCGCTTCCAAAACCCTAGGTCCTGGGGCCAGAGGGTGAGCCCAGTCTGTCTGCATAGGCCTCTGGCTTCCGTCCGGGCAGCTTCTAACCTATACAGTGCCTCTTCTCCCTAAAGACCATTGGAGCAGGAGCAACCCAAATGACTGGGGCATTTCTTGGAGCTGAGGTCACGTGGAGGTAGAATCTGTCAGTGTTTCAGCTCCTGATTATAGATTCTCAAGGTAGCTTCCTTCTTGACATCAAGTTATTAGAGACCGAAGGCTGGGAATATTTTGACTAAACCTCTTTTGGGGCGGGAAGTGTGGGACTCAGGCATCCAGGTTTCTTGGGAAGAAACAGAAAACCTTACAATGCATCTGAAAGTCCTGGGTCTGGGTTGTTGATGGACATTAAGTGTCAGAATGATGCCTTGTATGAGGACAAAGGTGAAGAGAACCTGTTTCCCTCTTTGTGGCACGGTCAAAGGGGAGGCTGGGTTCCTGCTGCCCACACTGCTGGAGCTGTGCTCTGGTGTGTCTACCAGCCTGGCCCCTGCTGGGCACCGGCAGGAAGAGAGGGAAGCAGCTGCCTGGGCCTGGGCAGCTTCCAGGTCCCATGGGCCAGCGTCCAGTTCACACTGATTTCCTGCAGCAGTGACACTGCCTGGGAACCATGTCTGACACTGAATCTGGGTCACACCTGAAGCTCCAGTCGAGTCAGCGCAGAGGATGAGATGTGGCCCACAGCACTCAGTTAAGGTGCATCTCCGGGGAGCGATGGGACCCAGGGAGAATTTGAGGAGCTAAAGAGCAGGTTTCAAGTTTCCTTCTTGACACTCTTTTAGATGCTCCGTCCCATTCTTGAACTTACTGGAAAACACAGCCAGGAGCCCAGAGGCTTTGAAAGCCCTATGCCTCTCCACCCTCCCCCTGCCTGGCTTGAGGGTGCTCCCTGGGCAAAGGGCCAAGCACAGGCCACTGCCCTTCAGAGCAGACTCCAAACTGCCTCTCTTCCTTCCTGAGGCTTCCCAGACCCTCCACAGGTCCTGTCTTGGGGTCCAGCTGGGCTTTTGTTTCCTTTCGCTGCCCCTGTAGCTAAAACCTGGAGGTAGCTAATGAAACAGAAGCCCCAGTCTATCCTGAGGTGAGATCTGCAGGCCAGCTAGAGACCCGGCCCACCCTGCCTTTGTCATGGAAAGCCATCAAGGGGCTGTGACTGGGTGGCTGGCACCACTGAGAAAAGAAGGAATTTCCCAGTCAGATTCCAAACAAAAAAAGGTCAGAAAGGAGCAGCTACCCATGAGGCCCTCCAGTTTACCATTCCCGATGTTAAAGGGTCCTTGAAAACAGGCAGGGAACAGTCCTTTATCCATTTAAAAAGAGACAAGCGTTGCAATAATAAAAACCCACTTACCAGGTGCCGGCACCTTCCCGAGCCCACAGGTGAAGTATAAAGTAGCCCTCTGCCCACGGCCCCACGCCCAGGCCTGGAGCCTGTGTCCCTGCTCTCACTCACCCACCTAAGTGGTGCTGTAGGTAAGGGCTTGAACTGGGATTCAAACTAGACCATCTGATGTCAGAGCCCACCTGCCCTCCACCTACCTCACCACCTCTGCATTTCAAAAGGCAGAAAGGGAGGGACAGAGGGACCGGAGGACTTCCCAGTGTGGCTACTAGGTTGCCAACTTGGGCCTAGAACCCTGGCTCCTGCTCCCAGCCGAGTGGTGTTCCTGATGAGGCACTTCCTTTGTGTGTCCCCGAGGCTGGATTGGGGTCTGGGCTCCTGCTCTGAACACAGGAAGATGAGCCGTGGGAAGGGAAGTCACTTTTCCTTGGCATATCCTCCTCCGCATCAGCCGGCAGCCAGATCAAGGCCCAGGTCTTGGGCTCTGAAGCTGCCCAGGGAAGCCAGACATTGGGAACCATGGTTGGGAACTCATGAGGAATGTATCCTCTGACTCAGCAACCCCCAGTGGCCACCAGGATGACCAAGCCTCAGGCCCTGATTTGAGTTGCTCACCACTCAGAAGAGAGATCAGTCCTTAAAAAATATGAGGGAGGCCAAGAAGAGAGGTACACAGAGCAGGGGCCACAAGCCCCCCTGAGTCTCTTCATCAGCCTCCAAATGGAGGCCAGCGAGAAGTAGGCTGGTTCAAGTTCCCCAGGCCTTGGCCAAGAGGCTGCAGCCCCAGTCTCTTCCCTTTCTGATGGCTCCTACTAGACCTTTGTGCCAAGAGGGTCTCAGGCACACAGATCCATGGTGCATCTGGGCCACAGAGCTGGTCAGAATAAAGCAGCCTCAGGCTTTGTGACCGCCTAGAGTGGGTTCCCTGACCCCCTTCCAGGCCTGGAGTGCACTGCCCCCCACGGCATTGCACCCCCAGCTCCCTGCTCTCGCCCCAGTGTCAGCCTTGGGGGCCGGGGACTGACTTCTTTGGACTGCACTTGAGCGGAGGTTCACTGGAGCTCCGTGTGTGTAGGGTTTTCTCCTCTCCATCATCCTCGTGAGTGGCCTGTGTCACCACATGGAGACACCTCCGTTCCACCTGGATGGGAAACCAGGCACCAGGCAGCAGGAGGACTCTTCTGTCCAAGGATGAGGCCCACTGACCCTGTCCCCCATCACCTTCGACTCCACACCTGGGCCTGGCCCAGTTCCACAAACTCCCTAGGCCTGTGTCCCCTCCAAGGTGAAGTGGGTGAAGGCCTCTCTAGGGACAGGGTGGCCAGGAGGGGCAATGTGTGGATATCACCTTTAATCTGTGTGTGCCGACTCTGTCCACCCACAGAGCCCCACGGGTCTCTTTTCAGAAAGTCGCTGTCAGGATGCCCATGTTGTGGTTCAACAGCTGGAAGGTGAGGCTAGTTAGGGAGGGAGCCCAGGCCCTGAGCAGGCTAAGCCCGTGCTCCTGCTGGGCTAAATAAGAGCTGTTGGCTGTGGATCCTGAGTTGGTCTCGGCTCCTGACAGCTCACCTATTCACCTGGGGGCACCTCACCTCTTTTTTTGGGGGGGGTGGGAACACTGGGGGACTAAAGCTAGGAATGCTTTACCATTGAGCTCTGTCCCCAGTCCTCTTGTTATTTTAAGACAGATTCTCACTAACTTGTGTGGCTGACCTTGAACTTTCCTGCCTCAGCCTCCTGAGATGCTGGGATTATAGGTGTGGCCCCAGCACCTGACTACCAGCATGATATGTAAATATCATGCCAGAAGCACATTTCTTTCCCACTTGGAGCCTCTCCGGAAATTCTAGTAGCAGCAAACGCAGAGGCTTATCTGGCCCTGCACATTCCAGCTCCTGGCCTTCCACAGTCTCACACTCTCAGCGGCTCACCGCTGTGCGGCCCTCAAACCCTCTTCGCTCCTTCTGCCAGGAGGGAGCACCTCCCCAGGTCCTCTGGCTCCAGTTCACAGTTCCCTCTTGGGAGCAGCTGTCCCTGGCATCCTGACCCCTCCCACTCCCATCAACTCCCCCAGGCGGTCTTAACTGTCTTTGACTCAAAATAAGATAAAAGCATCTTATCAATAAGGATGACTTCTGGGGTTGTGGCTGGAGCTAGCACAAGGGCCAGAGGGGGACAAGGTACATGCACTCTGAGGTGCACTCTGAGGTGACCCCATTCATAGCCACCTACTTTTGCTTAAAAAATAAAGCCCACATCCAAGTGAAGAAATTGTCATAGACCCTAAGAGAAAGGTACATTATTCCTCTCCCTTGTTTGGGGGACCAAGGCACAGAGCAGCCACATCTCCATGATTTCATCATTATTCATTTATTTATTTTTGGATGGAACCCAGGGGTGCTTAACCACTGAGCCTCATCCGAGCCCTTTTGAATTCTTATTTAGAGCAGAGCCTCACTAAGTTGCTTAGAGCCTCACTAAGTTGCTGAGGCTGGCTTTGAACTTGCAATCCTCCTGCCTCAGCCTCCTGAGCTGCTGGGATGATAGGCATGTGCCACTGCAGCCTCATAGGTACAGAGAACAGGAAAAGTTATCCTTGTCCTTTGGCTTTAAATGGGCAGACTCCCAAGAACTTCTCTGTTCTGCCTGGATCTAGACTTCAGCACTATCTCCCCCAACCCCCAACCCCCACCCCTGCTCTGGCTTGTCACAGAGGAGATTCCCACCAACACTTGGAGCCTCCAGAGGCCCAGGACTCCTGCAGCTAGGAGACTTCCCAGGTCTCCCCTTTCTGGTTTGGTAGCCTTCACCAAGTGCCTTTAGGAGCAGAAGGACTGCCTTCAGCCCAACCTAGAGCCTCTCCTTCCGTGAGATGCACTGCAGTGCCCCAGACACGCTGCTCAGAAGCAGTGGCCATTGGCTGCCCTCTTCCCTGCCTGCTCAGAACATGTGCCCTTCCTGGGAAACCCACCTTCCTGGGGACTCAGGAGTCAGGGAGAGCTGGTGTCCTGGCAACATAGGATTCTTACCACAGGGTGGCCACGGTCCTGCTCAGCCTCGCTAAGGTGACTCTGGAGGGGCAGCATCAGACCATTCTGTCCTCTCCAACTGTGCTCAAAGAATTTTACTAAGT